TATTTTTTATGTTTAATTACATTTATATCAAAAATTGCTAGGAACTAAAGCGATTAAGGTAGATCTAGCTGTCCTTTACATCCATAAACGTTATATGTCAGTGGAACAAATGGAGTGAGCTTTGAGCGTTCCATGATTTTTGGAGACTGTCTATACGCGGGCTTCCTAAACAAGCCTATATGTATGTTTGTCCAAGAAACTTTTGGATGAAATACAAACCGCACAACTTCAAAATCGCATAAAAATAATCCGCATAAAAAGAGACCTTACAGTATCCAACTATATCTCAATTTGTTTATTTTCAATATTTTATAATAGTAATCAATTATAAACTATCAATATATATTATAATCAATTTAATTTATAATAGTTATTTATAAAATCATGACAATAGCATTATTAGTATCTCTCTGATGTTATGATCAAGTTTATATATAAATTATATCATTATTTTTAGATACAATTTATAAACAAACATTTTTTGTTTTTCCAAATTTATAGCTCATATATTTATTTAAATATGAATCTTATAACTTATAATTGACCATATATTGTATAAATAAGACAAAAAATTATCTTTCTACATAAATATGTTTGTAGATGTGATCATGGTTTTAAATTTAAAGCTATCCCAATTAGTTGCCATATAATGAAAATTTTACTCAAATATTTTAAATATACATAACATTTATTACAAATTTAACTTAAATAATATATTTAAGATATTTACAGTCATTAAATAAGATAAATATTAGCTTAACTCACTTCATTGAGTCAAGCTAATATTTATCTTTCTTCATTAAAAGGAATAAACCTGAAGAGAAAAAAACAGTGCTAAATGTAATTTTCTTAATTTTGAAATTTTAGAAATTGGTAATGTTATATTTAATAACAATTTTTGAATAAGTAACTTCTAGAAAAATTTAAATATAGATAGATATTTACAGTCATTAAATAAGATAAATATTAGCTTAACTCACTTCATTGAGTCAAGCTAATATTTATCTTTCTTCATTAAAAGGAATAAACCTGAAGAGAAAAAAACAGTGCTAAATGTAATTTTCTTAATTTTGAAATTTTAGAAATTGGTAATGTTATATTTAATAACAATTTTTGAATAAGTAACTTCTAGAAAAATTTAAATATAGATAGATANATATTTATCTTTCTTCATTAAAAGGAATAAACCTGAAGAGAAAAAAACAGTGCTAAATGTAATTTTCTTAATTTTGAAATTTTAGAAATTGGTAATGTTATATTTAATAACAATTTTTGAATAAGTAACTTCTAGAAAAATTTAAATATAGATAGATAAATACCCTCATCCCTTAACTTATTCAATATTTTTTATAAACTAGTTTTATTATGCAGTACATCACTCAATTTACACAATTCTTTTTACATACAGTCTCAGTTCTACATAATCAAAAAACATACAGTTGATTTCATTTAATTAGGCCACCAGTTATGGGCTTAAGGGGTTTTAACAAATCTGATGTCAATAAGTAAATGTTGAAATTATTTATAGTGAGATGATATTTGA